TGTTTAGCCGTGGAATGGAGAAAATATACGTTCCCAAGCACTTGAACAAAAATAACCGACTAACTACATATAAATAAAATAAATTCGAATAAAATTTTCACGCGACGAAGGGTTCGCACGTGACCGAATCGCCGTCGAGACATCGAGACGCGAATGCTCGCGAGTACGAGGTCGTAAAACCCTTCTAGAACCGCGTTATCCACCTTCCATGAAAAATGCACGGCTCCTTTGTTGGTCGCTCTATTGCGCCTCCACGCCGCCTCGTACCCTCATCCCCTCGTCGGCTAATCTCCTAATCCCCTCATCCTGATATCCGCGCGTCCTTCGAACGAGCCAAGAATATTATGTATAATAACGCGCCGCAAAGTTGCAGAAGAAAGACCGTTGAATGAACTTCGGCGGACAATAGCCGGCCACTCTGGCTACAATAAATTCTCATCAATCGTCCCGCGGCTTGTAAACAAAAATTAACAATTTGGGCAGAGGCGAGACGATTATAATTCATCTTATTATTATTATTAATATTATCTTATAGCGGGCTACTCTGGCTACAGTAAATTCTCATCAATTGTCCCGCGGCTTGTAAACAAAAATTAACAATTTGGGCAGAGATGAGACAATTATAGTTCATCTTATTATTATTATTATTATTATTATTATTAATATTATCTCATAGCCGGCTACTCTGGCTACAGTAAATTCTCATCAATTGTCCCGAGGCTTGTAAATAAAAATTAACAATTTGGGCAGAGATGAGAGAATTATAGTTCATCTTATTATTATTATTATTATTGTTATTAATATTATCTTATAGCCGGCTACTCTGGCTACAGTAAATTCTTATCAATTGTCCCGCGGCTTGTAAACAAAAATTAACAATTTGGGCAGAGGCGAGACAATTATAGTTCATCTTATTATTATTATTATTATTATTAATATTATCTTATAGCCGGCTACTCTGGCTACAGTAAATTCTCATCAATTGTCCCGCGGCTTGTTTACAAAAATTAACAATTTAGGCACAGGCGAGACGATTATAGTTCATCTTATTATTATTATTATTATTATTATTATCTTATATTATTATTATTATTTTATTATTATAGTTACTGACAATCAGCAACTGTGAAAATGAACTGCGAGGCTCGAATAAATAATCCCACAAATAAGTCCTATAAATAGATTAATCTTATACTTATTTATACTAATTATTGTATATCTCATAATTACTATTAATTATTACAATTTCTTTTTCGAAAATCAACTGTAACTAAGAAAGACATTTAATAACAATAAACGCCTCTAATTAATTAAAATATCAAGAAAGTTAGTTTCAAAGAAATTCAAATGATAAATAATATACTTTCAATTTTGTTGACCCTTCTACAGAGAAACATATCCATTAAACTGATTAACTATATTCTTACAATTTATTTTACTAAATTGATCTTATTGATTAATTCCCTCACGATTATATTTTGAATGAATTGTTAAATCTATCAAAAAAATTCTATTCAATTTTAATTATTTTTATGGTAATAATAATAATAGCAACCCTAAAATTAAATTTATTAAGACTTTATAATTAAATTTATTAAGAATTTATAATTTCCCTATATTTTCAGTCCAACGTGTCATATATCAATTAATTTATCATTATCTTTAATAATATGATTAATACTTATACTTTATGGTCATGTCAAGGTTGCATTAAGGTCTTCTTTTTCCAAATACCGAACCTATAAAAACGAGGCTCGAATGATCATCTCCCCTCTCCCCGAACTGTCCATTTTCCTTTCCAAGCCGAGGGACAATCGTAGAGAATTTCCAGCACTTTTCTCCCGTCGCGCAACGAACGCCGCGCGTCGCGTCCGTCGCGACGTGGATTCGCGTGGCCAACAGTGTCTCGTCCGGCACGTTCAAAGTGTTTCGGAACTTCGAGAAGCCTGGGCGAGGAGACGTTCGTCGTAGGAAGCCGGAAGTCGAGCAGCGAAGCAGGACGAGAGGCGAAAACCGTACGCGGAATCGGTCGGATTCGATCGAGCCCCCGGGAAAATGAAAGGAAAACATGTCCCGCGGACAATCTCGATCGGGCGAAGAGCTTTTACATGCTTCACGGTCGCGTTGGTTCTTTAATAGATCTGTCAGTCATCTGTGCTCGGCGACGGCTACGACGACGTCGACACGTCGCCGAAGTAGCGGAAGTCGATCCCGATCGCGGGTCACGCGTCGTCGAAAAATAAACCGCGGAGAGAAACGGGAAACGATCTTCTTCTCATTTTTGTTACGGGCATCGTAATATTACCCATTCTCGCGGCGTATTACTATTATTACCATCGCGTATCGATTATCACACTCGTTAAAGACCGTCCTCGTTAACGTCGCGTCGTTTAAAAGCGCGCGGCGCTCTTCGCTCGGGTTCGTTTAACGACAATTAACGTCTCTTGGTAATTATTCGTGATATGCCCCCTTTATGTCAATAGCAACCCGCGCCACAGAGAATCGAGCTATTATGTTTGACACCGTCCTATGCCATTGCAAATCGTGTACCGAAGGGAATAATAAAATGGCGCTCGGGTGTAACGGCGCGCGACTCTGCGCTCCACTCCACGCGATCCTATTGCTCTCGTTCCCGTTCTCATTCTCTTTCTGCTTTCATTTCTCCTTCTCTTTTGACTTTCCTTCCTCTCTCTCTCTCTCTCTCTCTCTCTCTCTCTTCCTCTCTCACTCGATTCTCTGCTTTTTCTTTCTCTTTCTCTCTTGATTCTCTGCTCCCTCTCCTTCTCTCTCGATTCCCTGCTCTCTATCTCTCTTTCTCCCTTGATTCTCTGCTCTCCCTCCCTCCCTCTCTCTCTCTCTCTCGATTCCCTGCTCTCTCCTTCCTTCTCTCTCAATTCTCAGCTCTCTATCTCTCTTTCTCCCTCAATTCTCTGCTCTCCCTCCCTCTCCCCCTCTCTCGATTCCCTGCTCTCTCTCTCTGGATTCTCTAGTCTCTCTCTTTCTCTCCCTCTCGGTTTCTCGTTCCCATTCTCGCTCCAATTTTCGTTCGCGCTCATCCTCGTTCTCGTTCCAATTAAATCGACGCTTCGTCGGCAATACCAACGCAGCATCGGCGTTCCCGGCGAAACAATCGACGGGCTGTTTATATGGGATCATTAGTCGCGAACACCGGCGAAACGCGGCGTAAACGGCGTCATGATCCGGCACGAAAATTTCTCGCGAGACAAGACCGATGATCGGCGCAGCTTCCGACGGGGCGAAGGGCTGCTGCGGCCCGCGGCGCGCCGCGCCGCGACGCGATCGAACGGCGAGAATAAACGTGGATCGTGTGTGTGTGTGTGCTTACTCGTGCAGATACCCTCGTCGACCTCCCGCGTGCTGGGCAACAGATTTTTGATGACGCACTGGAGCCCGTCCGCGCAGCTTCCGGAAAAGCCGAACAGGCCGCCGCACGGCTCTCCTTCGACGCGGGCGCATACTTTGCAGCATCTGAAAGCAGAATATTGTTTTGTTCGAGCAAAAGATTTTCAGCGTTTCGATAATGTTACCTGGAAGAGCGTAAAACAGCGTTTAATTTTTATTGTAATCGTGCTTTATATTGGGTTGGCAATAGTAATAAAATAAGTAATTGCCGATTTGTTCAATGAAATAAAAAATTTCTTTTTACTTGGAACGAAGTTTAATCTGTAATGTATTTTCCATTTTGTTCGATGACCTTTTGCCATCTCTCTGACAACTTGAAAATTCCACGCTCGTAGAAAGTCTGATCCTTTTCGGCCAAAAACTGAGTTAAGTGAGATTTTACAGCGTCATCGTCGTTAAAAGTTTTACCACGAAGGGAGTTGTCCAGGGATCGAAATAAGTGGTGATCCGATGGCGCGAGATCAAGGCTATATGGTGGGTGTAACATCAATTCCCAACCAATATCCATGAATTTTTGCCGCGTGGACAAAGACGTGTGCGGCCTAGCATTGTCCTGCTGGAAAATGACACCGATACGATTGACCAATTCTGCTCGCTTTTCCTTGACCGCTGCATTCAATTTGTCCAGTTGCTAACATTCACACGGATAATAAAAAATAACATAATAATAATAATAATAATTTTATAATATAACATTTACGGATATCATAAAAATGGGAGTGAGAAACATCTATAACTGAAATCGGCAATTACTTAGTTGCCAACCCGATATATCGACTGCGATTTTAATGACAAATATGGATCTACATAGATAAGGGTTGTTTTCACCCTGAAGAAATGAATTTGTGATAGAAATGATAGAGAGATACAGTAAATTTTCTCCGATTGTCTCTCAACTTGTAAACAAAAATGGACAATTTGGGAAGAGAAGACAAGACCTTGACATAACTTTGACATAACTAAAGTTAACCTTGACATAAAGTATAAATGTTAATCATATTATTAAAGATAACGATAAATTGATTGATATATGACTCGTTAGGATGAAAATATAAGGAAATAGTATTAGTAAATTCAATTTTAAGATTATTATAATTATTATTGTTATTGTTATTGTAAAAATAATTAAATTTGGGTAGAATTTCTTTTTTCATAAATTCAAGAATTC